GCTCTTATATTTAGGTTGTTGATCCATTTTGAGTTAACTTTTATATATGGAGTGAGGGAGGGGTCCAACTTCATTCTTTTGCATTTGGTTATTCAATTGTCCCAGCATCATCTTTTGAAGAGACTTTTCCTTCCCCACTGAATGGTCTGGGCACCCTTGTCAAAAATAATGACATAGATTGTTTTAACTTCTGACTCCCCATTCATCCATTAGTCTATCAGGTCGTCTTTTGTTTTTTTTTTTTTTGAGACAGAGTCTCACTGTTCTGCAGCTAGAGTGGAGTGGTGCAATCAGCCTAGCTCACAGCAACCTCAACTCCTGCCAAGTGATCCTCTCCTCCTCAGCCCCCAAGGTCACTACTAGCCATGCCCACTATCCCTCTATTTGTATTATATTTTTAGTTTGTCAATTATTTCTTTTCTATTAGTAAGACGGTCTGCTCCTATCTGGTCGACTCCTGACTGCAGCATCCCCGCCTCGCCTCCCAAGTGCTAGGATACAGCTGCCACCATGCCCGTCTATATCTTCGTTATGCCAATATCATACCTTTGAGCGTACTTTGTATGTTGGAAAGTCAGAAAATAGAAATTCTAAACTTTTTCTTTTTCATATATGTTTTGCTATCATACCCTTGTATTCCTATGAAGTTTGAAGATACATTTACATTCTGCGAAAGCCCCAGTAAATTTATGAAATTACATGCATTTGTATATTTTTGGATACTGCCATCTTAATATAGTAGCTCCAATACATTAACATTTGGATCTTTCACTTGCTAGGTCTTAATTTCTTTAGCAGCGTTGTGGCTCAGTCCCGTTAACCACTCGAGGCAAGTGGGAGATCACTTGAGGTTCAGGATTTGAGACCAGCCGACAAGAAGTCAAGCACCATCCACTAAAAATAGAAAAATTATAGCAGGCTTGGTGGTGCCTCCTGTGACCCAGCTACGGGGATCGACAGGCAGGATCCATTGACCCAGAGTTTGAGGTGCCTGGACTACACTGTTGCCACGACCACTGTACCCTGGGAACACAGTATGCAAATGTTCAAACAAAATTTTTTTTCCTTTCACATTGTTACAGTTTTCAGTATGCAATTATTTCACTTCCTTAGTTAAATTAATTCCTAGGTATTTTATTCTTTTGGATGGTATGTATTAGTTTGCTTGGGTAGCCATATACCACAGATTAGATTGTTTAAATAACAATTTATTGAAGAAATTTATTTTCTCACAGATCTGGAAGCTAGAAGTCAGAGATCAGGGTGCCAGCATGGTTGGTTTCTGGTGAGGGCTCTCTTCCTGGCTTGTAGACGCCTGCCTTCTCCCTCTGTCCTCACCTGGACTTGCCTCGGTGCTTGCCCGTAGAGAGAGAACAAGCTCTCTAGTGTCTCCTATTATAAGGACACTAATCCTAGCAGATCGGGGCTCTATCCTTATGATCTTATTTAACCTTAATTTCTTCCTTAGAGGCCCCATCTTCAAATACAACCACACTCGGGGTTATGGATTCAACATATGTATTTGGAGGGGACATAAACATTCAGTCCATAACAGAGATTATTGTAAATGGACTTACTTTCTTAATTTCCATTTCAGCTTGTTCTTCCTGGTTCTTAAAAATAATGCCCACCCCTAGAGGAGCCATTGTTGCCAGTTTCCTGTATGTCCTCTTCCCTCCCTCTTTTCTGTGTCTGTCTCTGTCTTTCTCATATTCTTTTCATTGTCTGCAACTTATTTTTTTCTGCTTGATTCATTGACAACTGTTCAATATTTATTGTGTGTCTGTAATGTGCTTAGCAGTGTGTCAAGCAATATGGGAGATCATAAAGAAGTATGACATGGTTTCTGCTCTCAAGGATTTTCAATCTAGTTAAAGGGACAAGACATCCAAAAACTAATTAGAGGATAATTTAGGAGCATATGTAATCACATTCTCATCTGTCTGGCTCATGCACTAAGAAGTAAATTCTCTAAGGGTAGGTCTTTTATGCTGTGCTTACTGCTAGCCATAGCCCCTAGAACAGTATAAGAAGAACAGGTTATGAGCTTAATAAATGAATGTCGACTGGATTCAACACTCTCCGGCTTTGGAGTTTTGCAAACTGGGGGCTAGCCCTCCCATTTATCCTGAAAGATGATCTCTGTTCTGCGAAGTGGCTCTTAGACAAGACCCATCTGAGAATGCTGGAACTCTCCAACTGGATCGGGTTACGACCTAATGGCAGGCTCACAGACACAGCACACGTCTCTCAGCAAGTGGCCTGGTGTCTTTCTAAAATAACCTCTTACATAAGTAGATCCTTGTTAAGTTCCACCAAGTAAACTAACAGAGAAGAGGAGTATGAAGGAGGAAGGCTGGCCTAGGCGAAAAGAGAAATGCCCCAGAAACCTCCGCACTGACAGCCCGGAAATGGTCACAGACGCTCTGCGTTCCAGGGAAGAAGCTGGTCCCCGAGCACATGGTTATTTATCTAGTCTGTTTTTTTTTTTCTGATTCCAAGATCATGGTGGAAAATTTGAAAAGCAAATCACAGTAAAAAGAAGAATAAGTTTTTCTGTAAAGTGTTGTTTACCACCACTGAGGTAACCACTGTTCACATTTTTATTAATATATTAAATGTAATTTTACTTGAACTTAATGGAATGAAAAGAAACCAAACTTTAGATAAATATTTCTTCAAAATGATATATTATTTCTTAAGAAGAGTCCTCTAAAATTAAAGAATTAAGAGACATATTAAGAGGGTGGATTTATTGCAGTGGTTCTCAACCTGGGGTGATTTTGCCTGCCACCCCCCCCCCCCCCCCCCCCCCCGCCCCAGAGGACATTTTGGCACAGTCTGGAAACATTTTTGGTTGTCACAGTTCAGAGGGGGCAGAGTACTGGTAGATAGAGGCCCGGAATGCTGCTGGACATCCTGCATGCACATGACAGTCTGCACAACATAGAATTAGCCAGCCCCGAATGTTAACAGTGCCACAGTCGAGGAGCCCTGGGTTATTGCATAGTTATTGTGGTTTTAAAACAGCACATATTTTTAAAGGGCCTTAAGTTTGTGCCCAGTTACAAGGGCATAGTCATTTTCTCAGGGATGCGTGGGGTAAGTGGTCAAAAGCATGGCCTCCAGCCAGGTGGTCTGAGTTTGAATTCTGCCTCTGCCACTTACTGGTAAAGTGACCTTGAGCACTTTCTTTGGGCCTCAGTTTCCTCATCTGCAAAATCATGGTAATGTTAAACCTACTCCAAACATCGAATGAACTAATGTAAGTAAAGTGCTTAGAACAGTGTCTGGTTTATGATCAGCCCTGTGGGAATATGTGCAATTTTATTTTTTATGCACATGTTAAATATGTGCATTATTATTATTAATGTCTTAAACTAAACTAGAAGCACAAATTAAGCCTACTTTCAGGATACATCTCCTAAGGAATTTAATAAAGAAAAATAGACCTGTATGTAAATATTTTTTTAAAAGGAAACTTTAAGAAAAACCAGCAAAACTCATTCAAAGGAAAACGAATATGTCTAGGGCCCACTTATAAATCTAAAGAGCGTTTGTATGAATTCAGAGGTTCAGTGAAGTTTTCCTGCCTTCTGGAATTATCTGATCAGTGGCAGGTGACTTACTCTTTCAGAAAATATTATTTCTTTTTTTCCCTTTAGATCTTAGAAGGTACAGGTAATACTTTTTAAACAGGTATTTTAAACCTTTTGAACAGGTAATACATTATCATAGTTAAAACTCAAAACAATATAACATATGATATACGTTAAGCAGTTTCCCATTGCTGTGCCCCGACCCTCCCATAGTAATCACTGTAATTAGTTCCATATCTGCCCATGCAATATTTCTCTAGAAATACAAATATTACATATTCTTATTTAGATAGCCATTAGTTCAGGGTGGCGTCTGGGCAACTGGGTGATATATGGGGGGCAGTTAGGGTGCATTGGTCCTAGGAGAATCCAATTTGTAATGCCAATAGTAACATCCAGTAAGGTTGGCATTTTCTGGACTATGGGTCGGGTGAGGTTTCTTTCTATAATTTGAATGATTGCCCTCTTCTGTGTAATAATTTTCATGTCTCTTTTACAGAAGCTCTTTGGCCTAATTTCTATGCTAGGGCAAATTCTGATCCTCTTAAAATCTCTTCACTAACAAATCATGAAAGATGAAGTACCTGGGAAACCACTATGTTCTATTTTCTTTCTGTTTGTAGGTGTAAATTTAGACAGTATATTTAGTCTCAGGATTTGCGGCTTCTTTTTACATTTTACCCCACCAAAATCAACATGTATTTCTTTTCTCCCTCATTTTCAGCAGCTTCAAAAACATTGTAGCAATATCAATTTCATAGATGCTATGAATTGTCAAATGCTTTAGTCTAAATAAAATATTTGAGAATTACATTACTTAACACAACCAATAAGTTTTTTTATTTTTCAAAAAAAAAAAAAAACTTCATACCACATTGCTTACTTCATATTTGTACCCTGACTTTGTCTTCTAGCTTTTTGTTTTTTCTGTAGTTTCTACTTGTATTTATTTTTTCTTATTGGTTACACAGACATTTACCTTCTTCTCATTGACAGCAAGCTGCCATAGATTTAAATAGCATGAAGAAGAAGCCATAGTCTTTATACCACACTTCACTAAAGGGCTCAGTTTCCCTAAAATGCTGGACCCCAAACCTCAACATACCTCAGCGTGCCACATATGCCATTTTCCCAAACACTCCTTCCTCCAAGGACCTCAATTCCCCCAGTTCCACCAGATAACTCATTGCTCCCAATATTCTAGCTCCTTGTGTGCCCATTTTTTTAGTGCTCTTCCCCTGGAACCACAGGCCATCCCAGTGCCTACCTGTTACACAATGTACATTACCTGGCCCACTCGTTCTAGTACAGCTATCAGACCACCCCGCCCCATCCTCTTTCCTCGCCCAGAAGTGTCTGCCCGGCTGGGCCCAGTTATTCAGCTTTGGTTGAACCCTGCAGATGCTGAACAAGGCCAAGTATGGTCCCATTTGGATGTCCAGCATAGGGCCTCGGACGTTTGTGAACCTGGCCAGTGCCCCACTCATGGAGCAAGTGATGCGGCAAGAGGGCAAGTACCCAATACGGAACGACATGGAGCTATGGAAGGAGCACCGGGACCTGCACGGTCTGGCCTACGGACCCTTTACCACGTGAGCTGGGGCCGGAAGGGACTGGAACAGGGCCCCAGAGGGCCAGGTCAAAAGACAGTGGGCACAGGGCAGGCATCTGGGTAATGGGCACAGTGGGATCTCCTGGCATCCTCTGAGCCTGACAGTCTAGAGAGCAGTCACTGGGATGAGCTGAAGCCCGGGGAGCATTCATCGGCTTTTCCCCTCATCTATTGTGTGACTTTAGACAAATGAATGATTTCCCCTTCCTCGGCCTTAAGTTACTCATCTGTACAACAGGAGGTTTGAACTAGGGTATTTCCAAAGTGTCCCTAGGGCCTTTCTAGCTCCATTTTTCTGCATTATGGTTGAAAATATGTTAACTCCAATCATAATGGAACATACCTGCTTATAGTTGAAAAAACATCATGACTATATTAGTTGGGAAGGCTCAATTTAATTTTTTAAAAAGTGTCCCAAGTTATGTACTGTACACTTGTGTTGGTGGTGACTTTCATGTAGGCTGTCCGCACACAGAGACAGATGGAGGTGTCAGCCTTGAAGTTATGCCTGGAAAAGTTAAGACTATATTGGCAGCAGCAAATTGAAAGACGAACTGAGTATATTATTTACTCATGTGCTAATAGCAGTAGATAATTGGGAATCATTGGCAATAAACCACTACTCCCAATGCCATAGGGTGTAAACTGGGTGTGTCACAGCCTTATTTTTGCTCTAGGATGTTAACAGAACTGTAAAAACAGTAACTGGCTCCCCAGTTGCTCGACATCTATGGTTTAGTCACTTCTTAAGGGAATAAAATTGATTCTGGTGCTGGTGGCGGTGGCGGCCACCACAATGATCATCACTACGCGTGTATGACGTGCCAGGCGTCAGGCTACTCTCTTCATATTTACTATTTCATCCCATCCTCACTACAAGCCCGTGAACTCGACAGTATTGTTATCCCTGTTTTATAGATGAAGAAATCGAGGGCCAGAGAGGTTTTTCATCAGTGTCAAGAATGACACAACCAGCAAATGGTGGAATAGATCTCTCTCATTCGGAACTTAAAAACTTATGACCTTGACACATTGGTATTATTTTTTTATTTTTATTTTTGTTTGAGATAGGGTTTCATACTTGATACTTTTGGAAAGAAAGTGAACTGTTTGGAGGGTTCATTTTACCTGTCTTTGCTGCCTGTACATTCATTCTCCCATTGCATGTTTTTCTTTCTTTTTCCTGGTTCCTTTCCAGGTAGACAGTTTCAGAACTAAAATAATAATTCTTTTATTCAAAGTTCTGAGAACAGGGTACAGAATATCTGTTCTTCAAGACAATTTTAACTTGACATCTGGTCCCGAGGGCAAAGTTTAGGTGCTAGAATTTCACTGGGCCAGGACACCTCTGACTTGACAGCTCAGATTGATAATTGGAGCGGAACATTATGTAGACCTCTTTGTGATCTAATAAGTTTTTTTTTTTTTTACTCTAAAGCCAATTTCCTGAATATATCATATGTGTGTGTTTAAAAGCTATTTTGCTAACCCATGATAAGTTTGGTGGGTTTTTTGTTTTGTTTTAACATATATTTTAAAATCTCATTTTTGAGGCATTGTTTCCCTAAGATAGCATCCACAGAAATGCTCTCATTTAAGTTCTGCAAATCTGATTTCTCCTGTTGGGAGAGTTTTACTCTTGGAGCAACACCTACAACCTGATGTTCCAATAAATGGGTCTATTTTAGTTTTCTTTCTTTTTCAGCAATGCTTTTAGTTTATCTTTTTTGTGTGTGCGAGACAGGGTCTCACTCTGTCCGCCCGGGTAGAGTGCAGTGGCCTCATCATAACTCACAGCAACCTCAAACTCCTGGGCTCAAGTGATCCTCCTGCCTCAGCCTCCCAAATAGCTGGAACTATAGGCTGCTGCTTTGACACCCAGCTAATTTTTCATTTTTAGTAAACATGGGATCTCACTCTTGCTCAAGCTGGTCTCAAACTCTTGACCTCAAGCAATCCACCTCGGCCTCCCAGAGTGCTAGGATTATAAGCGTGAGCCATGGCGCCCAACCTAGTTTATCTTTTTGCAGCTTTTCCCCAACATAATAAAGAGAATTCCCGGGAGTGCTGAAGTTCATTTAAATAAATACTTTTTAATAATAAAAATACAATTTTTCTTTTTAAAACTTTATTGGTTTTTAAAATTCTATCTTAATACTTATTGTAACAATTCCAATAATAAAATATTATCTCCCGTCCCCCTTACTCCCACCCCTGCTTTATCTAGAAGCATGCAAGTATAATTTGGGTATGTAGGATTTTCTCTCCTTCTCTCTTTTTTTTTTTTTTTTTTTTGAGACAGAGTCTCGCTTTGTTGCCCAGGCTAGAGTGAGTGCCGTGGCATCAGCCTTGCTAACAGCAACCTCAAACTTCTGGGCTCAAGCGATCCTACTGCCTCAGCCTCCCGAGTAGCTGGGACTACAGGCATGCGCCACCATGCCAGGCTAATTTTTTGTATATATATATTTTAGTTGGTCAATTAATTTCTTTCTATTTTTTAGTAGAGACGGGGTCTCACTCAGGCTGGTTTCGAACTCCTGACCTCGAGCAATCCGCCTGCCTTGGCCTCCCAGAGTGCTAGGATTACAGGCATGACCCACCACTCCCGGCCACTCCTCCTCTTAATATTGGACCACATTGTACTTATTGCTCTGCAACTAGCTTTAAAAAAAATGGACTAGCACTCAGCTTGCTTAGGAATGGTAATAGGTTTGAGGGACAGCTGAGGGTGGCAGCCCTGAACATTCAGCCCCTCTATGGGAAGCATGTTCACACCCAGGCGAGCATCTCTGCCTACCCAGGGTGGGCGCCTGACCATCTACCCCATGGCTGTGGGAAGAGGGTCTGGGGCATCTGCCTGGTGGGCCTCGAGTGCCCTTGACCCACTGAACCCAGCAGAGCACAAAGGCCCAGACCCTGAGCACCCCAGGAGCCTTAACTTGCTCCTCCTTTATTCCTCAGCCTCCACACAGAGGAACTGGGACCACTGCGGCTCCCCATTATTTCACACATGGACGATTTCAGAGTCATATTATATAATTTTAAGACCATCACAGTCAGCATTCATTAAGCATTCACCATGTGCCACGCACTGAGCTAAGCACTTTAATGACCTGAACAGTCCTACTAAGATAGGGCTTATTAATAAGGGAACTCTTATTATCTTCATTTTATAGATGGGGAAACTGAGGCATATAGGAATTAAGTCATCAGCCAGTAATGGTCAGCCCTGTGATTTGACCCTAGGCAGTCTGGTTCTAGATGTCCATTTTACCTGCTTCCACTGTTGTTTGAGATTTTGGTAATTCTGTAATTCTGAATTCTAAGAGTATTCCTTTGGCTCTGTGGGGGTCTCAGGGTGGAAAGGCCTCATTTAGCTGAACCCCCATCAGAGGTTTGCGTGTGTGCCGCTCCTCTGTGTCCCTGCAGGGAGGGACATGATTGGTACAAGCTGCGCCAGGCTCTGAACCAGCGGTTGCTGAAGCCAACTGAGGCTATGCTCTATACGGATGCTCTCAATGAGGTGATTGATGACTTTATGATTCGACTGGACCAGACTCGAGCACAGAGTGCTTCGGGAGACCATGTGCCCGACATGGCTCACTCCTTCTACTACTTTGCCTTGGAAGGTACCCTTGCTGGGAGAGGGGCTGGATGTGGGAATGGGTCAGAGGTCGTCCCCCTCCGCAAGTCCCCCTGGGTTCTGTGTGCCCTGTCTCTGCCTCCTGTGACGGCCTCTGTGCACTACCCAGCTATTTGCTACATCCTGTTTGAGAAACGTGTGGGCTGCCTGGAGCAGTCGATCCCTGAGGACACCGCCACCTTCGTCAGATCTGTTGGGCTCATGTTCCAGAACTCGGTCTATGCCACCTTCCTTCCCAAGTGGACCCGTTCCCTGCTGCCCTTCTGGAAGTGGTACCTGGATGGTTGGAACACCATCTTCTCCTTTGGTGAGGAGGACTGGGGGCCAGGGAAGAAGGATGGAGGTGGCTCCCAGGTCTGTGCATTAGCAGTCTCTCCCAGGACCTTCTCCCTCATGCTTCCAGCTGTTGGAGTGGCTGTTGGTTCCTGAAGATCATGACTTTTGACTTTGTCCTTTCCTGTTCTCCATTGCCCTCACAGGGAAGAAGCTGATTGATCAGAAACTCAAGGAGCTGGAGGCCCAGCTACAGACAGCGGGGCCAGATGGGGTCCAGGTGTCTGGTTACCTGCACTCTCTGCTGACCAGCGGGAAGCTCAGTTCTCGTGATGCCTTGGGCAGCCTGCCTGAGCTGCTCCTTGCTGGAGTGGATACGGTGTGTGAGGGGGCCAGTGAGGAGACCAGGGCTCCCAGCTCCCATCCTGAACCAATTCCCATCATCCCCCACCTGGTGCTGACCTTAATCCCTCGAAATACTTGCGTCTTTTTCGAGGATGCAGCACTAGCAGGAAGAGAGAGGGCTCATCCAGCCCCGCTGAGGTGGGCGGGGAATGGTCCCCTTGTAAGGGGGATTTGGTCACCTCCTGGAGCCTCCTCACTGTCTCTGACAGCTGGGAAGTCTCATCCCACATCTAATCTAATCTGACTCTCTCTTGCTGGAATTTAAGTGGAGAGTTGGAAGCTTGTCCACAAGCACCTTCTTTCTCTATGGGACCTATTTCTAGTGCTTTTGTTCCCTTGGGTTTCTCTTTGCTGCAGTCCCCTGCTGTTGCTAAGACGCTATCCTCCGTCATGTTGGTCCTCATCCCACTGTGGATTCCTGTTTGGCACGGAGGTCCCCACGAACCTTCATGCCTTTTCTTGCCATACTTGTGGCAAATTGATTCTCTCCCACATTTTGCACACATCCACTCATACACCCTCCCACTACTGGCCTGTTTCCTAGAAATCCCTGCTCGCTTCATCTCCCGCTCTACCTCCTAGACATCCAACACGCTGACATGGGCCCTGTACCACCTCTCAAAGAACCCAGAGATCCAGGCGGCCTTGCATGAGGAAGTGGTGGGCGTGGTGCCAGCTGGGCAGGTGCCCCAGCACAAGGACTTTGCCCACATGCCCTTGCTCAAAGCTGTGCTTAAGGAGACTCTGCGGTAGGATGCTGTTCGCAGGAGCATGGTGTCTATGTGTGGGAGGAGTCAGAGGTGGGAATGGGAGGGGACCGGCAGGCTGGGGCGAGGGACAGGGACAGGGTGCGATGGGAGAGGTGGGGAAGGCTTGGGCATGCTGCCCTCCTTGCATCCACAGGCAGGCCCTAGACTTTTTTTCCCTGCAGCCTCTATCCTGTGGTCCCCACAAACTCCCGGGTCATCATGGAGAAGGAAGTTGAAGTTGGTGGCTTCCTATTCCCCAAGAACGTGAGTGGGGCTAGAGAACCCGAGTGCCCAGGGGTGCCCTGCAGCCCCGAGCTGATGGATTCATGCTGCCCATTCTTCCTTTATAGACCCAGTTTGTGTTCTGCCACTACGTGGTGTGCCGGGACCCCAGCACCTTCTCTGAGCCTGAGAGCTTCCAGCCCCACCGCTGGCTGAGGAACAGCCAGCATGATAGCTCCAAGGCCCAGCACCCCTTTGGCTCTGTGCCCTTCGGCTATGGGGTCCGGGCCTGCCTGGGCCGCAGGATTGCAGAGCTGGAGATGCAGCTACTGCTGGCAAGGGTGAGCTGGAGGGGCTGGAGGGGTGTGTGGGCCGGGGAGGGGTGAAGGAGACCTAGGGAGGCGAGAAAGGGAGGCACAGAGTAGGAGTGTGCACAGGGGCAGTGGATGGGGGACTCTAACTGCCCCGCATGCTCTTGACTTCCCAGCTCATCCAGCACTACGAGGTGGTCCTGGCCCCGGAGACAGGGGAGGTGAAGAGTGTGGCCCGCATCGTCTTGGTTCCTAATAAGAAGGTGGGCCTGCGTTTCCTGAAGAGACAGTGCTGAGCTGGGCCCCTGCATTGTGGGGCTTGTCCCAGAGGCTCCAGCCCTGGCACAGTAGTTCCTGGCCACTGCCATGTCTCAAAGAGGGAGAGAAAGAGGTTGCCAGATTCAAGAGGCTGGATGAACTCAGTGTACTTGCCCAGAACCCTGAGCTTTTGTCACATTTATTTTTTCGAGCAACTCCCTCTCACACAAAAGGCCACCCTCTTATCACATTGCTTGTCCTTGGGCACAGTATAAAATAAAGGAACTTTTATTAATTATTGGAGAGCTTATTCTTTTTGACTACCCAGCCTTCGAACCCCTTTCTGGGTTTGGGGAATGCTTTTTCTCCACTGAACCATGGCAGGAGACACAGCTGCCTCCCTTCTCGGAGCTGAGAACACCCTGGGCTTCCCCAGACCTCACAGAGAGGCCTTACCTTCACGTGGCACCGGCTGAGGCCATGCCAGAGGAGGAGCTGCAGAGTGACTCCTGAGCACCTGAGAGTGGCCCTGTGTCAGTCAAATCGCAGTTGTAGATAATAGAAAGCACCCTATTTGAACAGAACATGGGCATGCTACATAGGGTGCTACAAAATTGTTGGAAGAGCTCTAGCTAGACCAGGCTAGAGTTGACCTCTAGCAGGCATCAACCACCTTGGGGAGCACCACCGTGACTACAATCAGGAGGATGAGAATCAAGACATTATCACCGTAACTACTGGCTCTGGAGGGACTTCATATCAACTATGTCTGTGCTGGCAAAAAAAATGATGACCCCCATCCTGCCCTCAATACCCATGTGGCCAGTAGTAACTGGGCTGGGACTTCTGCTAATGCCCCCGACCGCCCTGACAGCCGGGAAAGCAGAAGCCTCTGCCTCACTTCCACCTTCCAAATCTCTCATGTACATCTGGGAGGTGGAACCTAAGTCCCACCTGGAACACTAGCTGCAAGGGAGTCTGGGCATTGCCGTTGTTAGCTTTCCGGTCTCTTTAGGACAGGGAGCCCACTAGAAGGAAAGTGGGTTGCACTGAGATCCAGTGCACCGTACCAAGTGAGTGGAAACCCAGTGAGTCCCCGTCCCAGGTGTACATTTAAGCTGAGTCATAGAAAAAAAAAATAAGGTTCACATTCTTACGCCTAGGGGAATCAGAGTTTTAACCCATTTTAAAAATAGTGTCAATGCCCTGTTTAAAATCCTTCAGAGGCTGCCCTTAGCCCTCAGGCCAAGTCCAAAGTCCTTACTGCGGCTTGTAGGATTCACTGTGCTCTGGCACCCTCCCTGACTGTGGACACGTTTCCACAGCTGAACCTGAGTTCCTTGCATCTCCCTGAGCACATTATGCCCTTTCCAGCCTCAATACTTGGTACTCACTGTCCCCACTCTTGGAACACCCTCTTCCCCCAACTGTCATGTCATCCAGAGAGCTTGCTCTTCCTTAGGATTCAGCTCAAATGTCGCCGCCTCTGCAAAGCCCTCCCTGACCTCTCTGAGCAATCCTTGTGTCCTCCTTACCCCTCCCCCATTAGAGAACCGAGCGCTCAGCACGTCCACCTTGTTGCTGACCCACTGTCTCCCTGACCTGCTGTGACCCCCCTGGAGGGCACAAATCAAGCTCCTCTAATTTTGGATCCCAGTGTCTAACTGTGTCTAGTCCCTAGGAGGTGCTTAATAAATGTCTGCCAAACGAGACTGGAATAGGAGGGAGAGAAGAGGGGAGGACACAGAGCTTTTTGCGTTGAGAAGGGGAACCTGGAGGGGACTGGGAGGAACTCCTGATCAGCAGGGCAGGCTCTCAGCCCCACCTGGCAGTGGGTTCACCAGTGACAGCTGCCTATGAAATACAGAGGATGGGGGTTGGGCTCAGAGAGTGCCAAGATCTCTGTCACAAAGTCAACCAGCATGGACTTCTGTCTTCCCCTGTGTTCTGCCCCTTCAAACTGGCTGGGATGAGCTGCCGAAGCCACATGAAGCCCGGAGTGCTGGCACTTGGGTGTGGGGAGGTGTGTGTGATGTGACTTGGACTGGGGTTGCGTAGCAAGAGCGTGTCGGCGTTCATGGTCTGCAGCTCAGTTAACGAACTTACAGGCTAATCTCACATCAAAATCTTTGAAGATCTTGTCTATCCACGCCGTGCGATATTATTCATCCCTAAAAAAGGAATGAAGTACTGATTCACGCTGCCTTATGGATGAACCTTGAAAACATTATGCTGAGGTGAAGAAGCCAAAAAAAACAAAAAAACAAAAAACCGTCCGGGTGCAGTGGCTCATGCCTATAGTCCTAGCATTCTGGGAGGCCGAGGCAGGCGGATGCTCAAGTTCAGGAGTTCGAAACCAGCCTGAGCAAGAGCAAGACCCCGTCTCTACTATAAATGGAAAGAAATTAATTGGCCAACTAAAATATATATATAAAAAATTAGCCGGGCATGGTGGCGCATGTCTATAGTCCCAGCTACTCGGGAGGCTGAGGCAGGAGGATCGCTTGAGCCCAGGAGTTTGAGGTTGCTGTTAGCAAGGCTGATGCCACGGCACTCACTCTAGCCTGGACAACAAATCGAGACTCTGTCTCAAAAACAAAACAAAACAAAACAAAAAAACCCCCACATATTGTATGATCCCACGCACACAAAATGTCCTGAATCGGCAAATAATCTATACAGACAGAAAGTAAAGTACTAGTTGCTGAGGGTGAGGGAAGGGAAAAGGGGATGTGACTGTTAATGGGCCCCCCTGGATTTCTTTTTGGGGTGATGAATACATTCTGGAATTAAATAGTACCTAACTTTGTAAATATACCAAACAAATATCACTGAACTGTACATTTTGAAAGGGTAAATTTTGTGGTATGTAAATTATATCTCAAGTGAAAAAAAAAACCATGTGGATCAGTTTAGTAAGATTATTGTAGAAATAGCTGCCAATGTAATCAAGAAATCCAGAAGATTCCTGAGGGTTCCTGATGCTTCAGAACTGGGAGGCAGCGCTGCCCTGCTGTGCATCTCCAGGGCCTAAAATCCAACTTCAAATAGGAAGTTATAAATGCAGAGGGGAAATGAGCTAAGCAGATTAGTGAAGCAATGAAGTCCTCGCGAGGGTGTATGAAAGAGCAGGCTGTATTTCCTCACACTTTGATGAGGTGTAGGCACGGCTTCAGAGGCTCCCCCCAGAAAAGTTTTGCCATCAGTGATAGAGCACAAGATGTAAGAGCTTAACTGTCATTAACACAAATGTTAACTTGCTCATAGGAGCCATTACCGGAAAGCCCACAGATACAGAATTGGAAGAAGAGAATCAAAGACTCCCACCCAGAGCAGAGAAAAACAAAATACAGCATGGCCAGAGAGAGCTTCTCCTTATACTTGTTTTGTTATTATTATTTTTAAAAGATTTCTATTGCTATATGCTATACTTACAGAGAAATGCATCTGCCATAAGTGTACATGAAAGTCTTTTGCTTAATCTTGGAGTTGAAAATGACTTTTCTCTGTTTATATTCCACCACAATGCCTGGGCAAAACTTACTTAATGTAAATGAAAAAGTCAAAAAAAAGAAGACAAAAAGAAAAAAATTTCTAGTTAGTATGCCCTTGATTAAAAAAGAAAAAGTTACTTTCTTTGACAGTGATTCATTCAAACACATACTAGCACGGGGAGGGACGTGCCATAGCCTGGGCTCCTTCCCTTGCAGCTTTCTCTCTTGAGGCTGCAAAGCACCAGCCCTGGTGAGGTTGGCACAAAGCCCACCAGTGTCTTCCAGAGTCTGAAAGTCTCAGGGGCTCAGGGTTCCCGAGAATCACAGTGAGGGTCCTGTTAGCCCACCCTGACCTGCCTCTATAGGGGAAAGAAGAATAATAGTGGATTTAGGATCATTGATTCAGCACAGCAGACGTACCTTCGACTGAGAAGAATGACACATCTGGTTACTCCTATGACAGCTAGTTTGAATTTGTTGGCCAAATTAGGATCCATATTTTGGGGTAAGACTTTAAGAAAGCACTTTGTCTTCCTAAACAATGAGGTGGCCCTCTTGTGAGTAAAAAAAAAAAAAAAATAGACAGGGTACCCAATGTTGCCTGTCTAACACATTCATGTTCTATGGAAGTTTTAGCTCTGAAGGCATTTTGTCTTGGTAATAGGAGTCTATTTCCAGGTCACTATTTATGACTCCAGGTTTAATATGCATGTCAAATGTAAACTTTAACAATTGCTGTAGTGGAAGAGACATACATGACATTGTACTGAGTACATTTGTATTTAAGGCTGTTTGGGAGAAGAGCAGTGGGACTGGTAATGGACTGGACACCTTCCATGCTGTGCGGCTACTCTTAGCCAGTGCTTGTTGCAACCCTCAGTCATGGATAAGTAATAGACAGGCCCACTAATGTGATGAATGATTTTACTAACTATGAGAATGAGGCATCCTTATTTCTCAGCACGGTTACATGCTCATCATGTATTATTAACCATGTCTGTAGTTTTTATAGAAAATAAATACAGTTGCCCAGGTCCCATGCCCAAATCAGGAAATCAGCATCTCTAGGAATGGGGCCCTGGAACTTGCACTTTACAAAGCTTCCCTGGTGATCCTGATGCACATCCAGAGCTGAGAACTGCTGAGAGACGGTGAGGACAGAGACAAGAAGGCGAAGGGGGCCACGGCACCTCAGAGAGGCCACGGAAGTTTGAGGAGGGGTGGGGGGCAAAGGCAGGAACAGAGGGGACAGCAGGGCAGGTGCACACAGGGAGCTTCTAGAATGCAGAGCTAGAGTGGAGGCAGTCGCTGCCCCTGTGGCAGCTCTGGGCCCCTTGTCCAGCCACCACTGGATGGCTGGAAGGGCTGAGCTAGGGGCAGAGGGCCAAGCTGTGACCAGAGGAGGGTCTGAGGCAGTGAGGGTGGGATGGTCCCTCACAGAAGGGCCCAAGGGGGAAAACTACCAGGTCCCCAGGGTGGTACGCAAACAGGCAGAGATGCACCTGCTCTCAGGAAGATCCCAGGGGAGCAGGAGTGCCTGCCTCCAGCTGCTGGCCGCAGCCTTTGCTTCTCCCACTGAAGGTCTATATCACATGGAGCCACCCAGAGGCACAGCCTCAAAGGACTGGCCTGTTACACTTGCCCAGAGCTGGCTGAGACTGGAGTCACCTGCCCCAGGCTCCCCAAGGGCACTGTCACTGGAGAGATCCTCCCTTGGCCTAGACCCCATGACCACTCCCATCTCATCTTCCCCCTTGGGCCCTAGCCTCTGGACCTTCCTGAGTAGGACCAGTGCAGGACCAGCACTGATCCTCAGGTTTTGGTAAAACGCCTACTGAGAAAATACCTTCATTTACTGCCTGACCAATCAAGTACAAATGTCTCCACTCTGTAGCTCTGTGAAGTAAAGGGGGTAGGATCGCATTTTAGAGATGCTGACCTCCCCCTCCCCCGCTGGACAGCTGGACCTGCGGTGCCCATGGCCACGGAAAAGAGTGACGTAGCAGAAGCGAGTCTTGGCTTTGGGATTTCAAAAGCCTCATCCTCAAGGTGGGTGGCAAGAACTCAGGACACATACAACGGATTTGGAAGAATATATGATGGGTTAGAGAACAAAGGACCCCTCTTTTTCCCACTGGTAAAGATTCTATAGGCTGGTGGGGGTTGAGGGGCAAAGAGACTGTAGGGATTTCTGGGGTCCTTGAGAAAAGAGACCTGAGAAAGGGGGCTGCATCTGAAGAGAGAGGGGAGTATGACAAGTACTCCATATAGGTTTGGAGATTATAGAAAAGCCCCGGGCCCCACGTTTCCTGGCTAGAGCCTAGGAACACAGCCAGCGTGGAGCAGAGCAGGCCACTGGCTGTACATCTCAGCAGATGGGCCCAGAGCAGCCTGGTGGAGCTGCCTGAAGCCCAGGGGGGTGCAGGGCTAGGGGCTAGAACGTCCCACATGCCCCAAGCACAGGCAGACCCGGAGAGGCTTTGTCGTAATGAAGGAGCTAGACCAGCTGATGAGCAGATGGGGACGGGGATGTTTTAGCAGGTGCTGGCATGGAGGAATGATGACGGCTGAGGAACAAAGTCTTACACTACTTAAAACCTCCCCTTTCAGAGTCCACTTGCTAGAGGCTTCTTGGGCGTGGCTCTGGGTAAAGAGATAAAAAAAAAAAAGCCTCCCCTTTCCACAGAGCTTAACCCCAGGGAAAGGTGAAGGGAGACCCCCAAAGTGACTGATATTAATTTCTAATCAGCTGGCGAAATGGGGTTCCTAATAGAAATTACAATCAGTGTTAGCAAAATAAAGTTATGTTTCTTGCAGATTAGAATTTATAGACTGAGTTGTACCTACTACATAAGTAATTAATATTTTCTTTATGGTTTTGTTGTAAATAAAAGATAAAAATATTTTGGTAGAGCAACACTCTATGCACAAAAGAAATGCCATTTGCAGCCTTTGTCAAATTTCCTTCGTGTCTTTGAATTCAGGAAGCACAGGGATCTTGCCACAAGTTCAGGTTAAATGACCATATCTTTGTTTGAGTGAAACCTACAAAGTCCAAGTTCATGGATTGTTCTTTTTGGTTTGTACAAGGCTGTCCATTGCTGGAGACTGAGGACACGAGGCACTGGTGAATGCTAAGGAGTTTTCTGGACAAGAACAGAAGGCGGGCCTCACTCCAACAGGCAGTTCTGTAAACAACTGCTGCTCCGTGGTGATCCGCAGCCCTGCAGCGATAACACTGCAGGGAGAGTAGGAGGGCAGTGGCAAAGTTGTGGGGAATCAGTAAAGTTCCTCACGACTTGGGGAGAACAGCTGGGACTCCCAGAAAGCTGGTGGCTCGAGGGGGACTCCGGAACCGCTGATTAAGCCTGTGGGCTGTGAGCTCCCTGCCTCACTGGGGCCAGTCATGACCCAGGTGGGGGAAAGGGTACACGTGGGTACGGAGCACACGGGCAATCCCAGTGCCTCTGGTTCAGAGACCTCCAGGGTGGACTCAGCTGTTCTCCTTATTGTCATCATCGCACGGTGCATTGGCATACCCAAGGGCTTCCGGGAGCACAGGCAAGGCAGGGCAGTTAGGGAGGGCTGGAGAAGCCTGTGTCGAAGAGATGGGAAGACAGTGACCAAACAGGGAGGGGACGGTGCCTTTCCAGCAGGGGAGTCTTACCACCCACTGCCGAGCAGGTGGACTTTGTGCCCCAACCTTCTGTGAGCCCCTAGCAAACATGCTACCAGAAAGAAGTCTGAGGTCATGTCACATTTACTGAGATGAGCACTTAGGTAGACGCTCCCCCTTTAAGCCTTCATTCTTCCCGAGAATGGAAATCCACATGGCAAAGGTTTATACAGCTTGCTTCCTTCTAATGGCAGTCCCAGCAGGTGAGAATTGAATCATGAGGGAACAGGTGAACCTTCCCGTACAACTTGAAGTCACACTGCTGCCCTAGCTTTTAGGCCAGCCTCTGTCCAGCCCTCCTAGGAGGGCTTTTGTCACCTCAGCTGAGAAGGGGACAAAGTGCTGGCCTATAAGTCTTATCCTTATTTTCTTGGGGCTGCTCAGTTATAAAATGGGCCCGTTCCCATTCTCAGGGTGTCCCAAACTGAGATCTGGGAGCCCAGAAAGACTGGGGCTGATTAGATTAGCCCAGGGCAGAGCCTACCTGAACCAGAGCGGCACCAGCAAACGGGGAAAGGGAAGATGAAGGCCGATCCCCCGGCTCCCTTCATTGGCTTCCGGGTATGGAGGTGGCTTGGGAGTGAGGACCCAGACATCCTCAGGCACTGAGGGCATCGATGCCAGCAGGGCTGAGCACGATCGCCTGAAGGATGTCGGAAAGGGAGACCACACCCAGGAGATGCTGGGTCTCGTCCACTAGCACCAGCCGGTGTACCTGTGGGGCCACAGCGTTCAGTGAGGGGGCAGAGCCGTGGGGCTAGGGCAGCTGATGAGGTTGGTACCAAGAATCCAGGAAACACCCTGACATGGTAGGGGAGAAGGAGAGTGTTTCCTAGGAACCAGTTAGGGATGGCTGTGACCGCTCTAGGGATCAACTGGCTGTGGCCATTGGCACAAGGGACCCATGGACAGGACCAGGTGCAGACCAGACCAGTGTGGATGCCAGGAGTTGGTCATGAAATGGGAGGGCAGGCCAGGTGCCTGATGTACGGAGATGGCTGGAGCCGGGCAGAAAGCCTGGGCCATGTGTGCTGGGGTCATGCCTGGAGGGCACCGGGTACCTGCTCCCGAGCAATCCTGTCGATCACCTCCCCCAGGCTCTCGTGGGGCTGGCAGGAAAGGACTCCCTCCAGACACACCGTCCTCTGCCTCAGGGCTTCTCCCACACTCATGTCTAGGTCGTTGTAGGTTTGCTGGGCAGCCAGGTGCTGGGACAGGGAGAGAAGGACGACTCTTAGTTCACACCCTCGCCTAGGCACCAACCCCACAGATATCACCCCTACACACTTGCCATGGTCCCCCGATCCACAGATACCCTCCACCGGTCCCCATACCCTCACCCTCAGTCCCCATACCCTGCAGCGCCCCCGGCTCCCAGCAGACACTTACAATCACATCGAAGCGGGAGTAGAGGCCCACGACCTGACCTGCAGAGGGTGGCAGGTAGGGGGCAGGGAGAGACAGACAGGGAAGAGGCTCGGATCAGAACCAGGGTGCTGTGCAGAGGACCCTGGGCTGCTGGCTTTACACGAGGCACCAAGCTGCCACTACCTGAACCCGAGGATCAAACTTAGCATCACAGAGAGTGAGACAACCTCACGTCATGCCTCCTGTGGAGATGCATTGTGAGTGACCGGGCATCACCTACGAAACATTCTAGCCTAAAATGTACAGCCTGAATCTCATCAAGCCTTTAGATCTGATTTCCAGTTTACAGGAAACAGGAGTAGAGAATCGAGGTAAAGGCCAGCTCTAGAGAGCAAACAGACAAACCTGGAGGTGGAGAACCCTACAGGACAACTCGCTCAGGCTTTTCAACTCATCGGAACCATGAAAATTAAGGGGGACTAGAACTGTTCTAGATTTAAAGAGACTTAAGGGACAAAAGACACAAATGCAAAATATGGACTTACTTCAATTGCATCCTATTTTGGACAAATCAACGTAAAAAATACATATTCTTGAGGAAATGGCAAAATCAGAATAAGGATTGGATATTAGACAACATTTATACATTATTCATAGCTTTGTTAGTTGGCATAGAAAAAAATTGATTTTAAAAGATGCAGACTGAAGTGTCTGGAGTAAAATGATATGATATCTATAATTTATTTTGGATTACTTCAGAAAAAAGATGAACTGATTATGCAATACGTTAAAAATAGTTAATCCAAGCAATGGATATATGTGATTCATTATACAATTTTTGTACCATTTTCATATATTTGAAGTTTTTCTTTTTTATATATATATAATATTTAATAAAGAAATTTAATTTTCTCTTTTTTTCAAACATAGCAGGTGAATTTCAACCCATATTTGAAGTTTTTCATAATCAAAAAATAAATTAAGAACACTTCTTGATATCTAGCTTAATTGTGGTGATTTTAGGTTTGAAATATTTTACAGCCATTGGCCAAGAAATAATCACATAGTCCCTCTAACCCTTTTTTAGAGCAGGAAATTGAAGTCTGGCTGGGGACCCAAGGTCCCCTTCTGCTGCTTCCTCTCACTATGTCCATTTTATTGTGCGTCATCTTTTAAATCCTCCTGTGAAGTCAGAAGGATGGGTGTTAAGATTCTCATTTCACAAGTGAGGAAACTGAGGCACAGAGAGGCTGAGTAACTGGCCCAAGTCTCAGAGCAGGCAGAGGCCTCTAACCCCCACTCCTTCTTGGGCCCCCAGCAGATACCACACAGACTCCTGCCCGCCCCATGTCCTCCCCGCAAAGCGCTCCCCTGCCCCAGCCCGGCCAGAGCCTCTCGTCCTGGGTGCAGGTACCACATTCGTTGACCACGGGCAGCGCAGACACACGCCGGTCCACAAAGATGTCCAGGGCGGTGAGGACGGGTGCTGTCTCCTGCACCACCGCCAAGTCCCGGAATGAGCCGATGCCCAGATCTTGGATGGTGCGGTAGAGGAAGGAGGGCCGGGGCAGCAGGGCGCCCTGGTTGGGGTGGGGATGGTGGCGATCAGGGCTCCAGCAGCCCCCAGAGGACTCCCAGCCCCTCCCTCCCCACTCCTAGGGTTGAAGACTTCCCAGCCCCTCTGGTCACCTCCCCCTTCCTCCCCCCGGGGCCCAGGCTCACAAAGATGTGCAGGAACTTGAGCAGGCGCTTGTGTGTGAGGATGTGGAGTACATCGCCTGAGACCGGGTCCAGGATGGGCAGGCGATGGATCCGGTTCTTGATGAGGGTGTAGACAGCTTCAAACAGGCTGTGGGGGTGAGAGCACTGAGCCTGGAGGCAGCCTGGGAGAGACACCCTCCATCCTGGTCCCCTAAAAAGGAGGACAGGGCCCCAAGGCTGCCTTGTCTGTGTGTTGCATGGGGTGGAGGGGCGAGTTTGGCGCTGACTGGGACTAGGGAAGGGGACAGTGGGAGAAAGAGGTCCCGGTGGGCGGGTGGAGACGCTTACTTGTCATTGGGAGAGATGGAGACCAGAGGCTTGAAGCAGCCTTGCAGGTAGATCTCTGCAGAAAAGCCAGAGTTGGTCAGGCCAAGGGAGCTGGCCACCCAGCCTCACCCGGCACCCCAGACTACTTCCCTCCCCTTGGGCACCCTCAGGCTCCCTATTGTTCCTCCCCTGCTCCCTCCAGGAAGCCACCACTGCCCATCCTCTGCCTCAGGCCCTTGGCCCACCCTCACCCACACAGCCCCTTTCTCGTACCCTCTCCCTGCTTACCCCGCCAGGTCTCGATCTTATGTTCTTCAATCTCATGGATCTGGACCTAGGGACATAGACAGCACTCCAGGAGTCACACGTGGGCCCCTTGGGCACCAGGCTCCATGAAGCCTCCCCTCCGCCCCAGCCCGCCTGGGCGCCCACAGGCCTCGCAGCCCGCTCCTCACCAGCGGGGACCTGTAGTAGCGATGCAGCACCAGGATGAAGTCCGTGATGGTCAGCATCCCTGCGGGGCGGGAGGAGGGTCAGCCTGGGGCCCTTGGGGGAGGCGGGTGGAGGGCTCAGACTCTCTCCCTGCCCTGCCAGTGTGTGTGCCCTGAGGCAGTGGGGACTATGGGATGAGGACCCTCCCGTAAGATGGGCTCTCCCTCTTACGTTCCCCTCAATTTCTCTCTTCTTCCCCCTCCTCTTCCTATTCCCTTTATTTCTTCCTCTTCCTTCCTCCTTTGCTACCCAGCATCCCAGTGTTTGCTACATGGCACCATAAGGCAGCAGAATTGGAAGGGGTCAGCCAGCCATGGCCATTTCATAGGTGAGGAGACTGTGCCCAGGTCCCCCAGCCAGCCACCCCAAGACCCAGGAGTGGACTTGCCCCCACGCTGGCCCTGACTCGGCTCAGCCCGAGGGTTCCTCAAGCTTGTGGCATGTCAGAGTTCAGCACCAGAACCACCGTACAAGGTCTCCCCTTCCCATTCTCCACTCACCGCCACCTCCCCAGCCTCTCCTCACCCACAAAGCTCTGCTTCTTGCTGTCCCACAGAGGGGCTGCCCGCACGCCATTGGCCACCAAGGCAAAGAAGGCCTTCTTGATCTGAGGGGCAGCAGAGAACTGTCAAGGGTGAGTCCCAAGAGGTCTGTACCGTGCTCTCCCACTGCCCCCAGTGGGCACCCACCCCCCTGCCTGCCATCCCCTCTGCTGTCCCAGCCAGGGCCCTTCTGTGGGACCTTCTCCCAGTCCTCCTCCTCACAAGCTTGCCTTCCTCATGTCATGGCACGCAGTAGACTTGATCCGTCTTGGGCACATTTGCCACATAGATCAGGCTGCTTGTGGCCAAAGGCACTGAGGACACCCTCACCAAGTACTTCAGGGTGTGAGAAACTCTAACTTTGTGTTTCCACTTGGGAGTCATGTGTGCACAGACACAATAGAGTTTTTGCTGATCTAAGTGCTAGAGGTATAATTACTTATATACCATTTGCATGTTTATATAATTTATATAATTTTTCTCTAAATAAAATTTCTATTGACTCATTTTGAGCCTTGTCCTTAACTAGCTATCTATACATGCCTCATCCTCAACAGTACTAGCTATATATGCTGATTATATTTTTCTAACACACATTAAATAAATACAAAGCTACTGAAATAAACTTATTTGTTCATGAACCACTAGGATCAAAATATGTACTATGGAAGATAGACGTATCCCATGCTTTGGGAAACACTGCTCTACAGAATGGTGATAAGAGCAGAATCATAGACATTTTGTAGCTTAGCCTAATGGAAGAGCAGGTACCAGAGCTCATCCTATTTTTCTGTTACCAAAAGAGCCCCCTACTCTTTGTCCTAAGTGACCCTGCAGTGTCTTACACACACTTCATACTTTGTAAAGCATCCCCACTTTCTGCTGAATTGTCTCAAGAATCCCCCAAACCATGCAGGGTGATCTCATTCTTCGAGATGAGAGGGGTGAAGTGATGGACCTGAGATCCTACAGATACTAAGTGGCAGAGCTGCGATGACAGAGGGATGCCCACAGAGAGCAGAAGCCCTCCCTCCCCCCACTGGTCTCCATGTGATAAGAGGGAGTCCTTGAAGGGGATTTGCAGAGGGACATGGCCTGGCAGGGCATCTCGGAGGGTGCGAGTGGTGGCTGCAGTGCTATGCGGGTGGACACTGAGCTTAGGTGGGACAGCACTGTGGCCTCACCTCCAGCGTGGTGTCAAAGATGACCAGCTTGGAGCTGGTTGCCATGGCGTCGTAGCAGGTGTGCTCCTGCATGAAGCGCATGTAGACCTGCGCCCCGGGCTTCTGTAGCTCGTCGTCCCAGCCCAGCTTGGGTAACGGGACCTGTGGAGACGGGCATGGGGCCGGCCTCTCTTCTACCAGGCCTTCCAGCTCATACCCCCAGGCCTCTGCGGCCGGGAACTCTGAGGCCAGCTCTGCATCATCTGTGCTGGAACCCGCTGCTGAGGCTGCACAGTCAGAAGGGAGGAAGTCCCCTGTTGGTGGGGTGCCCACTCTGACCAAGGCAGCAGCTTGGGCCAAGGGTGTGGCCTTGGGGAATGTGGCCTCCAGCCCAGTGGACTCAGCAGCTGGCCTGGCCCAGGAACCTGTTGGGAGGAGGAGGGGAAAGGACAGTAACCCCATCTTCCAAAGCACTTTTTCATCTGCTATCTCAGTTGATTGCACAGCTGCCTTGGAAAGCCAGGATGCTGTGGCCCCATTTTGCAGGGGGAAGCCAAGTCTCACAGAGTCGCTGTAGACAGTGGTACAGCTGTTCTCTCCCATGTGGGGAGACTGAGGCCACCAGATGAAGGTTGAGTCCAATTCTGTGATTTGGAGGAAGCCAAGGCAGAGCCCGGCCCCAGGCTCTGGGACTTCCCACTGCCCTGCCCTTCACCTCCCCAAAACTGGCCTTGGCCTCACCTTCCCCGAGACCCGGCGGCTCCCCTTCCTCTATGGCCTCCTGCCTCGTCCATCTTGAGGCCTTGGCCCTCCGTTTCCCACGGATTCTTTCTGAGCTGGTGGTCACAGCTGGTGATGGCCATGAAGTGCTGTCCCCTTGCTCTAGGAAGCTCATCTCTGGAAGAAGGAATGGGGCCTGTTTGGTTAATAGGGAGTAATACAACAAAATCGATGAAAATGTTATTAATAATAATTCATCTTTCAAGCTTCCAATGGGCTTTTCTCCAACGTATTTCTCATTCAAAACTCATAGCAGCCTCATAAGGGAGGTATTTTCATAATCCCCGTTTCACTAGGGAGAGACCAGAAATTCAGAGAAGTTAAGCAATTTGTGCCAAATCACACAGCTAGTAAGTGGTAAGGTCAGGACTGGGGTCCACGCTCAGACTCCAGACTCCCCCTTCCTTCTGAAAAGAGAAAAGAGGAGGTGAAGGAAACACAACAGAAAAAGAGGAAGAAGAAACAATGAAGAAGAAAGAAGGAAAAGGAGAAAAGACAAAGCCAGGCTGGGAGGGCTTGCAGGGAGGAGAGGGTCCCAGAAAAGTGGGGGACAAATGAAGTGGGAGAAGAGACCAGGCCACAGGGAGGGGCAGTCTACATACCTTGATGCTCAGGCCCCCCAAGGCTGCTCCAGGAGGGCGTCTGTGGGGAGAAGAATGTCTGAAGGGGTGGGGAAAACGCCTTCTGTTCCCACACCACAGGTCCCCCTTCTCACTGCACCGCACACACACTCAGACACACACACACACACACACACACACACATATCCACCCACCCCAGACACGCGTAGAGCTGCACACAGTCACAACATACACACCCAGACACCCCCATGCTCCTATTTACAGAGAAACACACACACACACACACACATGATCACGCGGTGTGCTCACAATCCTCGGGCCTCAGCCGCCCAGCTCCAGTCCCCTGGGACCCCCTACCCTGCACAGTGCGCGTTCCAGCTCGGGCTCCATGTGGCCAGTCCTGGCCCAACGGAGAGCGAGTGTGCGACACAGTGGCGGGGCAGCACTATTCTGGGCCCGGCCCCTGGCGCCCTGCCCCGCCGGATCGGTTTCTCTCTGATTGGGTGTCAGGCGGCGGAGGGAGGGGCCGCCTGCTCAGCTGCGCAGGCCAGCAGCCTGGGGGCTGCCGGGGAGGTAGGGGGCGCACCTGGGAGTCTTGACGCCTGGCCCTCCTGGGTTCTGATGACAAGCTGGAAGGGTCCTGTGGTGGGAGAAGGTGGCTTCGAGCCTTGCGGGAAATGGGAGGCAGGAGGAGTTGGGCTCTGAGAGTCCCAGGCTCACTAGTCCGAGGGCCTCTCTCATCTTTGTCAGGTACCAAAGAAAGGAAGATGAGGGGGTGGAGGTTTGAGCTTAACTTTCTTCCTTGTTCCAGTTTCAGCAGAAGGCGGTGCTGGAGTTGGAAAGGACAGGTTGCAGCCAGCTCAGAGGCTGGGAATAAGGCAAGGGGTTTGCGGGCAGTCCCGGGAGAGCAGCCAATGTATGTCCAGATGTCCACATCTGAGTCTCGGAGTCTGTCCCTCTCTCGGTGGGGGAGGTGGAGTGAGTAGTTCCGGCAGGGGGGTACTGTGAGGATCACCTGGAAGGTGTGGGGAGTGCTCAGGGCCTGCACTTGTCCACAGAGGGAAATACCTGTTTCTACCTGTGCTTGGGAGACATGCCTGGGTGTGTAGGGGCCCCAGCCCCCCATCTCAGCCCTACATCCCAGCCCTCGATCCTTCAGTGTGTGCTGTGCCTACCTCCCCTAGTGCCAACAGGATCCCAGCCTGGCTCTGGTGGCTGCCCACCCCCTTCCTTGGCATTCCTGGGGCGTGAGTCAATGTCCAAATCGGGAGTGCTGACCCAGCGCACTCAGCTCTCCTCACCCTGACCCTCCCTTCCTCTCCTCCTTCCAGCCTCTTTCATCCCAGCCCCTGGCCCTGGAGTGGACGCTCAGTAATGGACAGCTGGATTTCTTGAGGAATTTGTTGAACATATTTCCCATCAACCCCCACAGTGCCTACGCCGCCTATGGGGAGGGTGGCCCCAGCAAGGGCTGCATCTGTGGTCCCCAGCCTTTCTCAAGTACAGTGGGAGCTGGCTCAGTGGGCAGAATAAGAGAATTCCCTTCACAGCCAAGCATATTTTTTCAGTTAGCCTCAAGATAGCCACTACCAGTTTGAGAGAGGGGAATAGGAAGAACACCAAGTTCAGAATATTCAAGCATAAAAATAAGGTCTATATGAGACCATTGACTGTGGTTACACAAGGAACCGATCAGAAGCCTTGTAAGGCTTTGAGCATGCTATGTTAGCAAAGAAGCCATAAACGGGATTAGCAAAACCTGGTTTGACACCCCTTCCCACTGCCGTTATACCCAGCCCCCCAAATCTGCGCCAACAGGAAGAGGGTTGTGAAGGCTACAAGGTGTGCAAGAAGCATGTGCTGGCCATTGTGGCCACAGAGGACACTGGAGAAGGAATAACTTCCCAGGAGGCAAAGCCAGAGGCCATATAGGAGGGTGGACAGGGGGAGATCTTCCCAGAGAGTAGAACCAGGAGTGGCCAGATGTGCTGACCATAACTTAATCCACTGCCAGGACTTAGCCACTCCTGCCCAACTGCACTTAGTCATTGCTAAGTGACTGCCTTGGTGTTTTCCATCCTTTCTGTTGCAAGTGGATGTATAATTGACTTTATCCTGTTCATCTTCCACTGCCATCTATAGGGTGTGGAAGGGGCAGATGATCTGACTTTTAGTTTACAGGTCACCAGACCATGAGGAGCCCATCTACCTGGAAGGAGGGACTGCCCATGCCCCAGATATCCTGGACACTGAGCTGGGCACTGTGCCCAGTTGGAGCTCTGACATGCCTCTGTTTGAGGGGTGGTAAATATGTTCTTTGTGTGGGGTGGCCAGATGGGTGGGCTCTAGAAGAGCAGTATCTGGTCTCCCCTTCTTCTTCTACTGATAAATCCCCACAATTTTAACTGAGTGCAAGATTATATTTTCCAGCTTCCTTTGCAGATGGTATGGCCATGTGACTAAGTTTGGCTGATGAGATTTGAGCAGCAATATTATATGCAACTTATAAGGGTGCCCTTAGAAGGAAAGGGGACCCCTTTCTACAGACTAGAATTATGATATGATGGTGGGAGCTGCAGCAGCCATTTGATCCCAACAGTGGGAAATGCAATTTGGTTTTTTTGGTTTTTTGAGACAGAGTCTCACTCTGTTGCCAGGCTAGAGTGCCATTGCATCAGCTTAGCTCACAGCAACCTCAAACTTCTAGGCTCAAGCGATCCTCCTGCCTCAGCCTCCTGAGTAGCTGGGACTACAGGCATGTGCCACCGTGCCCGACTAATATATATATATATATATATATATATATATATATATATATATATATTAGTTGTCCATCTAATTTCTTTCTATTTTTTTTAGTAGAGACGAGGTCTTGCTCTTGCTCAGGCTGGTTTCCAACTCCTGAGCTCAAACAATTCGCCCACCTTGGCCTCCCAGAGTGCTAGAATTACAGGTGTGAGCCACCACACCCGGGCTGGGGAATGCAATTTGAAAATGACAGAACCTCCCCCACCCCTGTCCTGGTCTGCCTACCTCTGGACCGTTATGTTAGGGAGAAATAAATTTCTGTCTTGTTTAAGCCACTGACAAATGGAACCTTTGTTATAGCAGCCAAGCTTCTCTCTGATGACTACATCTACATTGCAGGATTAGGGCGGGATTGGGAATTACACATGTAGACACGTAGACAAAAGCCCTTCAAGTCTGTGCTTACCATCTACCAGACATGGTGCACAGCACATCACACGCAGTGTCCACATAATCCCTAGCAACCCTATGACATAAAGACTTTTATTATTACAGTTTTACCGATGAGAAAACAGAGGCATAAATAGATTAGGTAATTTGATCAAAATCTCAAAGCTAGCGGGATGGAGCCAAGAATCAAATCCAGGGTTTCTGGACTCCAGTGCCCACGTTCTTAACCATTAAGTGTTATGGAAAGCACAGGCCCGGCATGTAATACACACTCGGTAACTGGTTACCATTAGTATTACCTTGCCACCTGCTCCCAGCGCTCTACAGGCAAGCAGGCAGGCATGGGGGAGCTCCCATGCTTGGCAGCCGTCGCAAGCCACTGTCAAGGCTGGAGTGGAGGAGGACTCCAGCTGGGGCAGACACCAATGCTGCTCAACACGGGAACCACGGTGAGTTTCCAGATTTACAGGAGAGCCCTGCCCTGCACCTGCCCTGCACCTGTCCTTTGCCTCTCAGAGCTACCACCTCTGCTCTTGCTGCCAGCCCAGCCCCCACCCATGCTCTTGGCAGGGTGAATCAGCAGAAGGTACTGGCTTTAGTTGGGTAATAAATACTCCTTGGGTGATTGATTGTAGCCTCTGGCCATGGTATCCTATTTCCTGAAACCCTACTTCTTGGCTCACTTGCAGACTGGGTGTATAATAAGGACCCTGCACCCTAACCTTAGGGTGAATTTGGCTGCTATCTCTGGAGAGCTGATTTGTCTAGGACGTGGGGTCGGGGATCCTGTTGAAGTGTTATTTTTATATCAGAGGGAGCAAAACAGCTTGAGGAGGCTAAGAGAGTAGCCCAGATGAGACCCATTACTGATAAATCACAAACGGGATCCTCTATGCCCGAGCAGTTGGGAAGCTGGAACAGCAGCCCCTGTGTCAGTCACCCAGATACGATGGCTCCCATCTTGTCTGTGTGTGGCTAGACAGAGCAGTATCTGTGCCAAAGTCCCAAGGATCTGGACTGAACCTGTACCTTGTTAATGCAATTTAATCTAATGCAATTTAATCTGTCCTACAGGCCCTATTATTTGCCTTTTCCTATGAGCTGTTTGGATTGCATAATAGTAGACAAATGTTGCTTTCATCCACCTAGTATCTATTTACTTCTCTTTCGTCAGATCTGTAGGTTTTCTTCAGGGAACCATAATTCTTCCAATCTCAGAGCACATGATTTTCAGAGGGGCTCAACCGTGGGCTCCAGGAAGTACACCTCTGACTCAGATTTAGCCAATGAATAGGAAACCACAAAAAAGCAGCATAACAGATTAGAAAAAGAAGTAAATAGAACCTCTAGAAATGAAAATACAGAAGTGAAAGATGAATTTAATGACAGATTAGACACAGCTTAAAAGAAAACTGAACATTAAGTTAGAAGAAGTTACCTAGAGTGTAATACAAAGAATTAAAAAATATATAAGACATGTGAAAGAGAATAATATGCATAGAGGTTAGAATAGGAAAATCCTAAAACATATTTAAACAGAGTCCCAGAAGAAGAGTAGAGAGAGAATGGGGTAGAAGTCCTATCGGAAGAGAGTACTATGAGGTTTTCTGAAACTGAAAATAACAATGAAATGAAAATAACAATGTCTAGATTCAAGAAGCCTATGAATCTCTGGGGGGATAAATGAGAAGAAACCCACACATAGAAACATCACAGTGAAAACTGCAGAAACCAAAGACAGAGGAGACATTTGAAAGCAGCCTGGGGAAAAAAAAGACAGATTACTTTAGAAGAAATGGCAGTCCAATAGCTGACTTCTCAGCTATTGGACTAATGGAAGCCAGGAAACAGAATATCTTCAGTTGCTGAAAGTAACATTCAACTTATAATTTTAAACCAAGAGAAAATTTACAAAGAAGATTAAAAAATATATATTTTATGACAAAAACGGAGTCCATCACTGCAATGAAGGAAATTCTAGAGTACATGCTTGAGAAAGAAGAAAGATGATCTTCCATAGTAGATCCGAAGACCTAAGAAGAATGAAAGAGCAAGACAAGTGGTAAAAATGTAGATAGATCTAAATGAATACTACATACAAAATAATAATAATAATAATAATTATTATTATGTCCTGTGGAGTTAAAGAATTAAAATATGGCCAACTGTAACATATAAAT